ACAAACAGGCTAGCTTAGAATGAACTTTAAACTTCTAGACTTTTTTTTAATATGAAGGAGAAACCAAAATGGTGTCTCAAAATAATGGTTCTTCCACATTGCTATTACACAGCAACAGAAATTATGGTGCCAATTATGGTTATAAGTTGAGGATTATCTATATTCAAACATCCAGTTCCAAAGATGGTGATGTCTGGGAAATCCAAGCTATTGTTGCACAGTAATAAATAACCAGCTGCAGACACTATACTATTCTTTTTGGTAAGTCAGTGTCAGGCCTGCAGCCATGCCCCTTTTGGATCTTTGGCTTGCCACACTTCTATTCTACTATACTGTTTCTATAGTGGGGAATTGGGAGGGGGAATAGTACGGAGTAGAATGTTATGTAGCCAAAATAAAATTCCTTTCTAGATTGCCAAGGTCATCCTTTGTTTTGGCACCTCTGCATCTGACTGGAACTGGATGGGTGGAACTGCCAGCATGGCAGTGGAAGATTGGACCATCTGATGGACTTGTGGATGTAGGGGCAAGATCATGAACTTTAATTTGGGTAGGGAAAACTGAGAAGCTTCAGATTCAGGTTTTCCCAGATGTGCCAGCATGGCTCTCTTAATAAATTGGAACTTTGAGAACACGTTGCCATGGACTCTGATTTAATTTTGGAGCTATCTGGAACATTGACAGTCAGTTTATCTGTGGTCTAGAAAGAGATAGGATAATCTGAAGGAAATGAAACACAGCAATCGTTTTATGATTTTGCCACATAGATGATCCATGAATAGCAAGGGAACAAGTGTTGATTTAGAGTAAAACATACTGCATAAAGCCTTGCCTGTATTACTCTGTTTATGCTGTAATTAATGCAAAGAGCTTTAACAGAAAACAGTAAACAATTTTATGTATAATGCATTCCTTGCTTAAAAATGATCCAATTACAGTAAAAACCTAAGAAAAATTAAATAGCAATGAAGCTATAGCTACATGAACTCACAGCTTATAAATTGCCTATCCCTGAAAAAATATGGCAATGAAAATAAGGAAAACATTTTTTAAAACGTATTGTTCAATATCTGGTTTATTCAAGAAAGACTTTAGCAAAAATAACCTGAGACCAAAATACTGGAGTGACAATCAAAATATTTGGTTGCTGACATACCCAAAGAGTTTAGATCTGCATAAATGTATGTATCTCTAGATTTCAATTTATAAACCACAATAAATATTGTCCCAGACTAGAAGATAAAGCCACAGTAGCATTTTTAAAATAGCAGTCTTTTTCTGACTGTTACATTCATTTGGTGAAATGGAGATATATCAAACAACTGTGAAAGTTCAACAAATAAACATGGAAAATATAGTCCATAAATTGATTATAGATAAATGGCAGCTCTATGATCTGTAACACAGAATTATGTAGAGCAGAGGGTAAATGCCACTAAAATTAATAGAACATGCTTCCCCACCCCCATGCGTATGGAAACTTGTCACAATTCTACACCACCCCTACTTCATTTGATTATATACATTGAAAAGGCTGTAATACATCCTGAGTATGAGGTCTAACCCAGTGGCCCCCAACTTTTGAGCACCAGGAATTGGTTTTGTGGAGTTTTTTCATTGGACCAGAAGGGGTGTAGTTTCGCGAGCTGCCTGGACCCTGTGGCTTCGCTTGTTTGTGCAACCCGATTTCTGGCATACTGTGGTCTGGTACCAATTCACAGACTGGGGGTTGGGACCCCTGCTCTAACCAATCCTGGAATCATCCAAATGCTAGGCTATATGCTCTTTTCTTCTGCCCTCCAAGTTGCCTCTTGGGTGAGTTTTCCTGCTTGACCATAGGACATGTAAATGTAAATTAGAAAAGACTCAGACATGTAATTTTTAATAGGAAATGATTCATAGATGGACAAACATCTGCTTTTTCCATGAGCAAATCTAATTGGAATATAATTCACCATTAAATATTTGACACCAAGTTCTTTTCAATTTAGGATAGAACATATGGGGACTAAGTCTTGGAACAATTTATTCAGTTTTGGCAAAATAGGTGGTTTATAAACATGATTCATGGTTTAGATTCATAATTCAAGATAATAGTGGATTATTCAGCAAACCATGTTCAACAAACCATGATTCAAGACTAAATGGAGTTGAGAATGTGGGATTTTTATACCTTCTTTGGGTTTTACACTTTAACTTCCTGCTCCTGTGCAGGAACATGTATTCTACTGGCTGTTGTCAGATTCCTTTGGGGTCATGTAGGGGTTATGTAAGGGTTATAGTTGGCTCTATAGACAAAAGAGGAAATACAAATCCATGGTGTTTGTCTGAGCTGCCAGGTTTGGTTGAAGTTTGTGGTGATGCAATGAAAGGGCTTGTTTTCTGAAAGAGTGTTGGGCAATTTCTATTGTTGCTTAATGGCTTTTTCCAGTGTTGGAGCTTAGGTGATGGCAAGTCTAATCCTACCATTCTGCCTTTGTTTCAAAATATTCTGTCTTGAATGGATTGCCAAATCTGCATTTCTAAAAGCTACCCCCTCAATATCTGTGGGGCTATTAAGAAAGACTTGGAAGCTGCTTTCTGTCTCCAAGAGCAAGTTTCTCCATTTCTCTTTTAGGGAAATGTAATATTCTGCCCTTTTTAATATTCCTCAAAATATTTCATTCTTATAGGAGGGTGGATGCTGACTTTCAACAAAATAAATAGAGACTACCATTTGTTGTCTTCAGGAAAGATAAATAAAATTAATTTTTGTTAAAATTATTAGATAATACCTAACCTGCCTAGAATTCAAATGATGACCTGGAGGAACTGAGTTGCTCTGATTAGAAAATGAAGCTTGAAAAGTATAAAGTCCCCTCTAATTTAGAAAATATCCTCTGCCTGAGCAGCCATCCAGCCCAAGCCGTTTAAATATAATAAAGGATAACAAGAGTGGACAGAAACCTTTAACAGTTAAGCACAATGACATGTGATTGAGCACAGCACACCCAGACAAACTTCCTCATCAGCATATGTTTATATATAATTAATATGGTCAATTGTTTTCTAAATTTTTAGCTAGAGAAATCATTTGCCAGAAACAAATATATACAATTTGTTTGCTGTTCTTTCTATTTTGACAATGTATATCTGCTTTCTTTGAAAATCACACAAAAAATTGTCTAGCTTATATATGAGTTACAGCAGCTATGGTCAGATAACCAACAAACCTGGTTTGTGGAAACTTCTAGGTTCACATTATCACCTGATTACCGTATATTGTTGGCTTGTTGAAAAAGGCCACTAGAGGTCACTGCACAGATTTATTTTATAAATCCAAATAAGAGTACAGTAGTTCATGGAATAGTAGTTTTCAAGAGAAAATTTATAATATGAACTAGTATACAGATGTTTAATCAATAGTCTGCAAGCTTCACTGTACAGGTAATCCATAGAAAAGTTGCAATATAATAAAGAACGGACTATTCACTTTTTTTTCTGATGATGGAGAACAAAAGCATTTTAACCAGGCTACATTAAGAAGTAGATGAATTAGACCTTCCCACAAGGCCAATCATTTCATTAATAAATTGGTTTTGATACTGAGATTAAAGAGATAATTAGTATAAAATTATCCTTTGCTGTGAAGATTGCTTCTTTGTCCCAATAAGAAAAAATTAGCACAAAGACAATGTGATGCTGTGGTGGTTTAGTAGCTATAAAACAGGGAAAACACCAACAGGTGTGATAAGGCAGTCATTTCTCCCACCATGGTTTGCTACCTTCAAGCTTTAACTGCAGAAATGTATTCCAACAATTTATATTGTGTTGAAGCCAGAAATGAATTGGGTATGTTGCTCACAAAAATGGTGGCATGTAAGTAAACAGGTGACCTCTTTTTCCAAGTATTTTTGGGAACAGAGCAAATGGCTATCAGAAAGGCTGTAAGTGTACTAGCCCATATGTGTTGCTGAACAATGGGGAAGAGGAGATTCAAGAATCATTAAATTAATAAAATTCAATCTAGAGACCAAATACGCAAAATCACACGGACAGGTTTTTGCTCATATTAAGAAATAAAAAATCCAAGAAAGACAATTCAAAAAGTCCCTTCAAGTATATTATGGTTCTGAACAGTCTAAAATTATTTCTGCCTAGTAACAGTGTCCTGTTATAGAGGGGAGTGTCTTAATGGTTGTTCATCCAGTAGTTTTTTTTTAACCACACAATGATAAAAAAAACCCTCTGGTGATTAATATAAGAAAGGACATAAAACATATTATAAAACAATAATAAACACCTACTGTACAAAGCATCATGATCATACTTTGATGGCTAAAAGGAACATTGTTGTGTGCCTTCTGATCACACAAGATCTTGAGGGGGGGCAGAGAGGGGGAGATAGGTTTTTCACTTACACATGTTGCCTTCCAATTTAGTAATCATTACATGCTAGTCAAACAAAGAGACTTCTGTATAAAACATAAGGCCAGACTGCCCATATTTTTCAAGACTGGGATTAAAAAAAATAGACTACTGAAATGTAACTAAAGAGCACTCTTACACTTTTAGTTTTGAAATTAATCAAAGGCAGATCTTAGTATTCGAAAATGCAAGTTCCACTATACATACATACATACATACATACATACATACATACATACATACATACATACATACATACATACATATTGAATTTGTGCTGACAAATAAAGGGAGACTACATACATATACATACATACATACATACATGCATGCATGCATGCATGCATGCATGCATGCGTGGTGGCAGAATATTTCAAAAATTACTATCTTATGAGTTGCTAAGAGGGGCCTTTAAGCAGGTAGAGAGGTGGATGCGCCTCGCGAGCTTAACAGAAAGACTCGGGTTTGAGAAGAAACGGGTGGATCTTTTAAAATCCAAGTAGGATCCGGCAAAATCCAGCTTTTACCCACACCCGCTAATTGACCCCCACACAAAACTTAGCGCAGCTGTCCTGAGCCTATATTAGGCGGCCGCTGAAGAGGAAAAGGCGGCGGCAGGAGGCGGGGAAGAGACAGTGGAGCAGCGAGCAACAGAGCCAAGTAGCCCTCTACACTCAGTACGTAAACAATATATGGAAGTTATCAAGTAATGTTAAGCTAGTAAGCAGCAACAATCACCCAGGGTGCAAAGGAGGCCTCTGGCCTGAGGCTCCCCCCTCCCCCCCCCAGTAACCCTTCCTTTTCCCTGCCCACAGAAGGGCCGACTGCCCGGTTTCCTAGTGGGCGAGAGGAGCAGTCACACAACGAGGAAGGAGAGACTGAAGGCAGCAGCCAGTACAGAAGAGGATGGATTTCCAGCAGCTGGCTGACGTTGCGGATAAATGGTGCTCCAACACCCCCTTCGAGCTTATTGCCACGGAGGAGACCGAGAGGAGGATGGATTTCTACGCAGATCCAGGCATTTCTTTTTATGTCTTGTGCCCGGAGAACGGATGCGAAGACAATTTTGTAAGTGGAGGAAGAGGAGGTGGGCGAGTGAATGGGTGAGCGAGCGAGCGGGAACCATCGTTTTTTGGCCGGGGCAAAAGGCTGGAGCGGGGAGGCTGCTCGCGGTTTTTGATTTCGTCCAAGTTCTTTTCCTCCTTTCCCCGCTCGTTTGCGGAGATGGCGGAGAAGAGACGTTTTTCCCTTCCTTCCCCCACACCGGTGGAAGGAAGATGGAAGAGCCTTCCGTGGGTGAGGAGAACCGCCATCCTGTATATTCTGGGTCTCTTTCGGGAAGTCTAGCAAGGCATTATTCCACTCTTTCCTCCCCTCCCCCCGAACATAGTGGAAATGTCATCTGCGTTTTTTATTCATGTTGGTCCTAGAAAATTAAATGATGAAATGTGTGTTTTGGTGTGGTATACATCATGGCCTATTGTGGTAGCTTAACAATAACCATTTACTGTGATTTCTCCCACTCTCTCTATTCAGCATGCGAAATACAACCTTTGCTTATTTGCTAAGGACTGTTGCTTCTCTCAGAAGATATCCTAAATTCTGGTTAGCATTTGTCTCCCCTCAGGGCTATGCTTGCGCTCTGGAACTTTCAGAGTATCAGAAGAGGACCTCTGGGGTTAAATAGAGTATGCAACTGTATATAACTTGAGCTTTGGAAATAGAATTACATCTAGGTTATCTTGAGAACAGGTATTTCAAATACTGATTTGAGTTCACCACAGTTTGGCTAAGGAACCCAAGTTTATTCTGGTTGTCTAAACCTTTGCTTGAAAATATGTGGACTTCTACTCCCAGAGTTCCTCAGCATGACTGAATGAGGAATTCTGGGAATTGAAGTCCACATACTGTCAAGATTGAGAAACACTACTTTATTCTGTTAACCAAGTACTGTGTTACCCTGTTTCCATAACACTTTCAACCATGTGGCATTGGTTTTGTACAAAGGCCTGGGCCAAACTGTTTGGCTAGCTGTTATTGGTTTAGTATGTAATGGAAGCATTAGTAGGAAATATGATTAGTTATCAAGAATATGGAATATTATCTAAAGAGCCAAGAGTTCCCCAGTATTACTGGATACATGGGTTTTCCCTTTTGCAGTTATCTATAGCAACCTCCTTTTTTCTATTTTCATCTGATGCCTAGCACATAACTGTGGTAGTTTTAAGCTATTCTTAAATATTAAAATAAGAGTGTTCTCCCCAAACAGGTTTTGCCATGGATGATACAATCTAGCACATTTTACTAATAAATGTGGCACTTATTGATCACATTAGATTAGCATGAATTCACATTCTCCACTTCAAATCCTGGGTACTGTTTTCAAGGGTCTGCTTTTGATAGGGAGCAAGTCTTGGCCTTTCAAATTCAGCTTATCCTGTTTGAATCACTACCAGTAGATCTCAAACTAATTATTGGGACAGAGAACTGGATCAGCCTGAAAAGCAGCTGATCAATGATTATAGTGGGATTGTATAGTAGACCAAAGAAAGAGAAAATTCACTTTTCCTATACTCTCCATGGCACAATTATCTCCATGCCAGTTTTCACACTACTTTTCGATGGTGGTTAGGCCGTGTTCAGTTGTGGGATTCCAAATCTTTTACTACTGGATCTATGAGAGTGTGCTTTGGGCATCTGTGTGCAGCACTTAAAGACCAGTTGGGCAAACCTGCTGCAGAAAGTTTGAGTAGTTCCTCTGGTTGGCCTTGGTTCAGCGCTGGTGAGCTGAGTTGTTTTTTAGCTCAGCTGAGGTGTGGCAATCTACTCTGCTGCACAAATCAGCTGAACTAAAAAAGATGGGAATATAGGACAGGAAATGAGAGTGTGATATTTGCCAGTTCTCCGAACTACTCAAACTTTCTGCAACAGGTTCACCTGAACTGATCTGAATACCACCTCTGGTTGCATTGAATACAGCTGGCCAAAATATTTGAGCAAGACCCGAGATGTTTTGCCAGAAAGCTAAACTACAGAATCTAGTCATCTATTAAAACCTACCTCCTGTTCCTGCTCAAGACCGCATTAAGAAGATGATAGATATCCCCCCACCCCAAACACATCCGTTGGGTAACTTTTGGTGGAGAGGGAGGGAATATTCCCTCTCCATCTCCCAAGAGTTTTCTGAAGAAGCACTGGAAGAATGTCTTTGATTTGCTGCCTTTAGTAATTTAAAGCAAATGGTTTTAGGATGGGACATACCTTCCTCAACCAACTTTCTGCCAACAGCATGTTTAGGTTGCCAAAACAGCAAGTGTCTCACCCTTTCTCTTAGTAATAATAGAAATAAAAAGCAAATCTAGTTTGGTTAACCATAAGGGGAAAAGGCAATTTGTGTTATTTTATTCCATAACTGCTAATCTACTCATTAATTCAAATTTTCCAGTCAAATTAGAAAATTAAAATATAAAACCTGTACTCCGCTAACTCAGGATCACAAAATAGTGTGCAAACTTTGATTCCCCAGAACTATTCTTTAGGGAGGGGTAAAAAGAAAAGGATTGCTATTCTGGTTATTAGTCTGCCTTTAATTTCAGCTGCATGTTCCAGTTCAGAGGCTAAGTATAATCTTTATAATAAAAACCATTAAGGGTCTGAATTGGAAAATATAAAAGTCCCAAAGGTGTTTTTTCAAAGCTTTTTGGATGAGAAACAAAATGTTTTCAAGGAAAAAATCCAAGAAAGTCCAGTTGCCTTTTTGAAAAAGCACCTTTGGGATAACCGTGACCTGGATGATTGGCAATCTCCATAGACATATAGACTTTGAAAACTGGACACCTAGATATTGCTGAAAAAATAAATATAATCCACTGTGTGTCTTTTTTATGTCTTAAGTTTTTCCTCCTACCTTGAATGATAGTGGAATGGCCAGTTTTGAAGGGTGCATTATAATACCAAGAGGGTTGCAAGTTCTTGGTATAAATCAATTTAGGTGTCAGTTTTAGATGCAATCTCACAAATCCACTTTAATGACAAAGGTGTTTTTTTAAGTCACTATCCTCCCACTTATTGGATATAATTGCCAAAAAATCTCCAAGACTGTTCAGGAATTTTAGTCTTTGTTGTAAAAAGAGATAAAGATTATTAGATGATTTGAGCTATTACCTTTTTAAAATGCTTATAATTTTAAATCTAGTTAAATCAAATATAATTTTTGCTGCATACCATTGCTTGCTTTTTGAAGTGCAACCATTGGCAATGAAAAGGCTAAATCTGGCCCTAAGATTAAGTAAAATTCAAGATCTATTGAAACAAATGCAGATCAATAAAAATGTAAAAAAAGGAAAACCTAATAGCTAAATAGTATTATTTTAAGAATTTTGTAACGGGTAGAGAGAAAATAATGATTAAATAATTTTACCTGGCTCTGACTTGTTGACCTTTAGTGTAATTTGTGGCCTTGCATATTAATTTAACATAACGTTAAACTTCTTAAATTCTAAAAAGAGATTTATTTATCTGTGGAATTGTGTATTACAGTGAAAAATATTATAATATTCTCAATGATTTGGAACTTTTGAAAGGTAATGGAGCAGAGCATATATAGAATTTAAAATAATGAGTGTCATCATAACATGATTTATCTAGTGTGTGCTTCTTAGTGAGCTGTTTGGAAATATGGAACTAGCTAATGGAAATCACTCTACCTGAATTCTGCAAGAGCTGAAGGTGTTATGCTTCTCTGGGGTAACCTGATTCTTAAATAAAAGTATCAGAATCTGGGAGAAGCAGTGAGTTAATCTTTGGGTTAGGAGGGGTAGTGGATCCACAGTCATGTATATAATTTTTTATTTGTTTTGGGAAGGTTTGAGTGAGTGCAGTAGTACCTTCTTCAAAGGAGTGTGGCATGAAACTGCTTTGTTTAGTTAAGTATAGAGTTTTGTTTTTAACTGAGGGAAAAATTAACCTTGCTTACTCTTTTTTAGCTGCTGTGGTTGAAGCAAAAACTATTACCCCCCTCTTTTTTCCCTCTTTGTTAGCTAGCAACCGTATATATTTAACAGGGTACATACTATTACTTCAATAGAAGCACTACTTTTCTACTCTTAATATTAAACAAGCACCTAACTGTTTTTGACTGTTCTTAAAAAAATCACATTGGATTGACCTTAAGTGCTATCAGTATTTGGCTAGGAGGCCTTGAAGAAATCTCAGGGCTGTAGAATTAGATAGGAAAACCAGAAAACACTGTGGCAACAGCATAATGTCCTTTTTACATTTATTTAAGGAGAATTATTTAAATACTTTTTGTCTCAGTGCTGAATCACAGAGGAGGGGTTGTATACATTGATTTTATGTTTCCAAGGCTTTATTAACATTCATTTAATTCTGTAAAATTAAAACTAGTTTTACACATATTTAACATAGTGCTATTTCAATAATTTTTCATTCTTGCAGCATCTGCAAATATGTTAACCCTTGTACATTTATCATCTTCCTATCTTATTCACTGTTAGCTTGCAGATTTTCATCCATCTTTTCACAATCCATGATGCTTCTCTTTCTTTTTCCTGTTCCAGAACTTGAGTTCCTGGTATATTAAGAAACAAATCTTCAGCTGCAGCTTAAGTTCACTATGAGATTCTAGCTATTAACCACTGCAAAACACAGCTTTTGATTTAGGAAAATATGGAACTTGTCTTTTATCAAACTAAGATTTCCACTTGCAACACCTTACAGTAGGAGGGAAGGAAAGAATTCATGGCTTTAGTTTTATTCAGTTTAGTTTATGAACCTTTAAATATATGTCCAAATATACAATTTAGATGGTGTGGTAGTAAAATGTATGCCCTTGTTTTTATCTGGGAATCCAGATGATTTACTCTTAACCCTTTGAATTATCCAGTTCTGCATGTTATTGTTTTTCTTCCTCTTTCAAGTATAAATTAATTACTATTTTTCCTTTTCAGCTTACTACAGTGGAATCTTTTCCAATGTGAATTTTTATTTATTTATCTGTCAATGGGCTTTATGAAGCATAAAAAGAGAATCCCTGTCTGAGGATCTTACAATCTAAAATTCAATAGATTGGGGGAAATAAACAGAAAGGAAAGGGCAATGAAAGATTGAACAACAACAATTATTTTATTTGAACATATTCTGCTGTTTTTCTTAGTGTAGATAAGCAATCAATGATTATTGAACAGATTTTATTCTACTCACTCCTAATGGTTCTAGACACTTTATAAACATAATGAGAATAATAAAATTTTATATACCAATATGCACAGAATAGGAACTCTAGAAAGTCCGCTTAAAATATTCACGCTCCATTGTAAACTGGATAGCAAATGCATAATATTGTATAGGTCCCATCACAGGAAAACAATGATAGCAGGATGTAATAGAATAATCTTGTAATTTTTATTGTTTCTTCTGCTCCTCTATTTTTATACAAATCATTATCAGTTGAGATATTATGTTTATTGTGCACACATTTTTTGCCAAGCTAGACTGCTGAACAATCCAACCAAAATGCTCCATTTACTGTCATCTGGAAGATCTCTTGAATGTTGAAATTACTTCCACAGGCGAATCTTATTTTTTTAAAGTGATGCCAGGTGGTGAGAAAGCTTGGCCTCCCTCATGATGCATGTTAATAAGTCCTCCTTTGATATTCCAGACATTAAGTGATATAGAGTGTCTGAACTTTTATTAGATTGATCAGCCCATAGAGAATGCAGACACACTGAGAGGCACTGGTGGTACTTGCTCTCTAGCTCTAGGATTCAGTGGTTCCTATGATTTGCCAAAGCTTGGCTTGATCATCTTCTGTCAGATTTATTTATTTGGATAATCATTTAGAAACAAGATTACTCACACTAAAGCATCTTAAAATCTGAGCTGTTATTTGATGTATACATAAAATGGATTGATACAAGATCTGAAAACAATTTTGTTAAACTATATATTTTTTTAGGGTTTGGAAACATAATATGCAAAAATTCCTAGCCAGCATGTTTAATCATCCAACATATTTGGAGGTCCTAGTTTAAGAAGGGGTGATTTTATTGACAATACTTAATCCACAATTTGACTGAGTAGGTTCATTTTTTAAACTTGGACTAAGGCTTTGAAAATTTGTGCCTTTAAGACCTGCCTCCGTTGATGCCCATCACATTTACTGCCATGTCTGACATTTTAGATTTTTTTAAAAAATTATAAGTTGAACAATTGCAAGTTCAAACTAAGATTGTGGAGCTTTCCTAAAAAAAAAAAAAAGGCAATTGTAGTCCAATGTTTGAAGTGTGAGTAATTGCTAAAAAAATGACAAAAGTGAATGGCAATTAGAGTGTTTTGATGAGTGGAATAGTAAATCATCTTCTGATAAATTGGTGCTTTGTACCTAATATTGGCCCAAAATCAGTTTGTTGTGAATAGACAAAATCTCTTAGCAGTCCACTGGCATAGGAGGGTTTATGGATCCTTTCCCCCCCTCTACCTTGCTCTACCTGCAAGTGTAATCTAATTAACTATTCCAGTTAATTGCATTATTCATTACTTAGATTTGCACTTTTTGCTTAATGGAGACTAAATGGAAAGGCAAGGAAAAATATCAAAACTGTTAGAACTTGTTCACCCAGGACATGCATTCAGCTCTAAGGACAGAAGAAGCAACAGCAGGTTCAAGAAGCTCTGGAGTTTGTCTGAAAGCCCTTAGTAGTTGCTTGAACCTGGTAATTTTCTGTCCATCTGCTATGTTATAGGCAAGGAGCTTGCATAAGTGAAAGTTATAGGTTTTCTTGTCACATAATAGCCCACATGCATAGAGATATCTTTTTGGTATTTCCTGTGTCTATAAGGCAGATGTTATTCATGGAAAAGGTACACCCCAGTATGGGTATACCAGTGCCTGCTGGGAGTACCAGATACTGTTCCGGTACGGTGCTCTGGAGGGCCCACCCGTGCGCCTTACCAGTATTTGAGGTTTTTAGGGCTTACGCGCTTGGAGCATACAGCGCCTACGTGATGCTCTGCTGAGCAACTGGGACGTCGCGGAGGGTTGCGGGCGGTAAGTACGCATACGCACACTGCATATGTCCATGTGGTGGACGCCCAGCCCTGTTGCACCCTACTGGTTGCAAAAGGATCAGGTAGTACTTAAATGTAACTATAACATAGTAATAGTAAACTAGAAAAGGTTGGATTTGGGGGTGGGATTCATAGTGGTGAGTATTAACTTCTTCCTTCTTGATACTCTCCATAGATCAGATTGGAACCCATTGTCTTCCAGATATTATTGAACAACAGCTTCCAGCATCCCTTACAATTGGCCATGCTAACTAGAGTTAGTGGGACCTGTAGTTCAGCAACATCTGGAGCATCAGAATATCATCTTCCTCTTTCAGAGTTTCAAATAACATTTGTATGTTAGCATTTTTCATTTCTGGTTGATTATCCTTACCTTGTCTTTCAGCATGTCTGGAGTGAAAGTGAGGACTGCTTGCCTTTTCTGCAATTGGCTCAGGACTACATATCTTCTTGTGGTAAAAAGACACTACATGAAATTCTGGAAAAAGTCTTCAAATCATTTAGACCTGTAAGTGCACATTTTCTTTTCCGGTGGTTTGGATCCAATACACTTGATGAATATGATACATTTCTTCTAATGTCTCATAAGCTGTCTGGCAAAGCACAAAGAAATAAATGTTTATTTTCATCAGCCTCAGTTTACTTTCTCCATCTCTGACCCTCCATTTAGCAGACTCCCTGCTGGGACTAAGATGGCCATACTAACTCCCCAGCCAAATGAGAAATTATGTGAGGCTTGATATTTAAATGTTGGATCTGAAGTACTATAGGGAAGATGTCTATATTGATTTCTATGATAGAACTATTTTTTACTACTTTTTATGGAAATTCACAATGTAGATGTATTGACTTTTACGAGTAGGAATAGATGATCAAGCACTCTTCTTTTTCCTCGCAAACTGAAAAAAAAGCATGTATCCTGTTAAAAAAGTTTAAAAAGTTTACTTCAAGTGTTTTGATCTTTTCCACACTTCTAAAAACACTCAAAATAGGTAACAAAATAAGTTGCTAGCTGTTTGTGGTTTATTTATTCCAAAACTAATAAAACCCTCTCCAGATACAAATAGCATGGAAGATAAGTATTGTTATAATTCCACAGATGATCCTATGTGTATTAGTAGATTGGTGTGAGATAGGCAAATGCAGGAAAATAAACTTTGGCCTTGAAAGTGTAATTTTTAGATATGAATTTATGATTCAAAATCATATAAATTATTGAACATAGTACTTAAGCAATACTTCAAACGCTTGTCAATATAGACATAACTATAAGCATATTTACTTGAAAGTGGTTTTTTATGTAAATACAAACATCAGCATTTAAAAAGAACAAGAAACATTGGGATGCCTAATCTGCTGTCATTCGTACAAAAGAAGGCAAGACTGAGAAATCAACAACACTAATTTGTATTGTTCATTTTTTAGTCGTGGCTTCTTTTTTACATGAATGAATTCAGATGCATTTTATGCATATTACTAATATAGACTTTTTGCTGCTTTCAATTTTAGTACTTAAACACACACATTTTCTATATATTTGCAAAATGTCATGCATTTTTGTAGTTATGTTTTGAGTTCCAAATTACTTCACAAATATAATATATAGAATATTCACATATACTGATTTTCATGGAAAACTTAAAAATTCAAGTAGAATACATTTGTACCTATCAGCAGAACAATAGATTAACTTTTTGTTCCCCAGCTCAAAATATATGTAGCGGTCTTATGAAAAATTAAATTATTAGACAAATATATTTTTAATATGATCATTTCAATGTTTTTTCAGGAATATTTATTTTAAGGGATGTTGCCATCTGGAGGTTTTCTGATGCTATCATTGAAAAGCATTTGTGCATTATTTCTTCAGTTGAATTTTAATTTAAAAATATAGAATCAAAAAAGTTACAGTGCTGAGCTTCTTATTTTTTATAACTATACTATTAAACATATATTCCACCTTTTTTCTTATATTACAAGCAAATACCAATGCTTATAATTTGAATAATTCTAAAGCCAATTACACATCTTTCATCTGGAAATGCTCATATTTCTCTTGATACCTGAACCCCCTTCAGATTTACCAATAATTGAGCTGCAATAGGTTTATAAATCTGTTGCACTTTTTCATATGGCGATTTTTAAAATTTAAAATTTTAGAATCTACAAATTAAGAACAAAAAATGTGTTTGAAGACTTAAGTATTTTATATAGAATGTCTCAGAACTGGCTGCAGCTTCTAAATAAAAAATATTTTAAAATTCTTTATAACAGGTGAAATTCTGACATTGAGTGAAATGTCGCACGGTGATAAAATTATGCTGTAACTAGTCACATCAAATTATCTGTTTTCTTGCAAACATCCGTCGTCATGCCAGCTTTGCTTTCTTTCCCAGCTAGCTTTTTCTGAAACAGATGAAACAGAGTTAGATTTTAAAAACTAATGTTAAAAATTTGCGAGCATGTTCATGGTTCTGTCTGATGCTTTTCTGCCACTTGTGACTTAGCCAGTTCTACGTTGACTTTCATCTTTCTATTGAAGAGATGAAAAACTGGTCAAAATAGTTTTCATTTTTTATTGAAAGCTAGATTCAGAGAGAGAAAGGGCTATTTGACTGGAAGTGCCTTTAAATAGAATCTAGCCTAGTCTTATATATGAAAAGTATTATACCAGTGCCACTTACTTGACACGTTTTTTTCATTTTAAATTGAAATATATTTCCACAAATATTTTTTTCAGGTTTGTTCCTGAATATAAATTATATTTTTCTCGTGTCATTATTTCATATTAAACTTACAGTTTATTTCTTCCTCCTTTACAAATAGCTATTGGGGCTTCCAGATGTAGACGATGCTTTCGAAGAATATCATGCAGATGTGGAAGAAGACGAGGCCGAAGCTGATCCCCAGCAGATGGGTGTCAGTCAGCAGTAATATTCAGAGGAATTAATATATATATTATCTTACCAGGTGGGGTCTTATGCTTCCGCATTAGCGTTTTTGAATTAGCACATCATACTGGAAAACCTGACACCCAAACCCAAAGTTTAAAAATAAAACAGCAATATTATTTTTGAAAGTCTGTGATGAGCTTTGCTAAGATGTGATGTGAATTAACTCCTGCTTCAGTTAAGATTTTATGATGTTGTCTTGGTAGCATTCTGCCATTGTTAACTTATTTTTTTTCCTCTCACAGGCTTGTCTTTTTTTGTTGTTGATATTATTATCATTTTTGTTTATATAGAAGGAGGCTTAACATTTCACTGATCTGAATGTGATTTGAATGTTGAACTGGTTGGTGTGTTAAATACTTGCAGGCCCTTATTGAGGACCATCCATGCAGAGAATAAATGCAATCAGCACTTTTGGTTCCCCCCCTCTCTCTGTGTGTCTCTCTCACTTTTGTTTTTAAACAAATATTACAGATTAAGGGTCATGTTTCAAATGGGTAGCATGCCATCAAATAATGCATTCCCAAGACTCCCTAACTTTTTTTGGAAATATTTAAATAGGTATTTATTTTTATTAAAATCTATATTTGAGGCACAATCTTCCAAAAATCTGTATGTCCTCCAGGTCATCTTTTTTTAAAAAAAATCTGTCTACAGTGATCATGACTGCTGAAAAATGAAAGTGGTTTCCCAGATTCCTTCCTAATAGGCTCTTCTTAAATTCTACAGCGCTTGGCTCACCACCACCAACAAAGCCCATGTTACCAGTTCCTAAAAACCTTGGGAGATGCCATATACACCTTTATCCATCTCCTGCAAACTTCTTCTTTTCCTTCATATATTTTGGTTTAACACTGATTTAGTATTATAACTCTGGTCATGTTTCCTTGTGATTGGCTTCTAAATTATTTGCAACCTTTGTTAAAATTTCAAGGTCATGGTTAGTAAAAGTCCAGGGTACAACATTTACATCTGTTACACCTTCCAGTGTGTTGGTTGCAATTACAATAATTGCCCTATTATCATGGACTCTGGCTGGAAAATACTGAAAGTTGCAATAACAGTAATCCATAGGACTAATGAAGGCTACACTGATTATAGTTGGGACTAACAATGGATGGAGACGAGTATTAGTGTGGGTAGGAAATAAGTGTTACATCCAATGCCTAATTATTTACTTGATTTTGGCCAGAATATTCAATAGATAATCAGTGACAATTATTGCAGAAACATCCTTATATTTTAAAAAGATCATGAATACTACTTAAATATTGTACCGGTTTTTGTTAAAATAAGAATTTTCTGAATTTTTAAATTTAAAGAGAAGAACTGACATTATCGATCTGTTTTATATACTTTTGTTATCAAATACACACTCAAATCTTGCTTTAACAAAAAATACAAGTAAATTAAAAATATAGCCGCCTTATCTTCTTTATTAATACAAGAGGTGGTGGTGAGTGAAAAATATCCTTTTTGACTGCTTTGCCTGAGGAAACTGTTACTGGTTTGTCTTTTAGTAAATATCAAGGTTGAAGAAATCATAGTATAGAACTTTTCAGTATCTAATGTCAGAAGCAGACAACAGACTTCCTGGGAATCTTTCTATTAGAGCAATGTCATCAACTTGCCTTCTGGTAAATGGATGTTTAGTGACCAAACATTGTGATTTTATGGGAGATTCACAGTGTGTTTTCCAATTCCAAATATGGTCATTGGCCCCCAAAGGTTATCAGACTATCCCTCCCAGATCCAGCCATTTCCTAAAGAGTAGAGTGTCTATAAATTAGTTGCAGGTCTGGGAGTCCTCTACAGAACTGATGTTGAACCCCATGTAGTGCATAACCAATGAAAACTTTCATGAATAATAGTGTAATTGGCAGCATTCCTTATACTACATCACTTCCTTGCATTGTGACACCATTTAGAAGCAGCTCTCTTATCTTTTGTCTCTACCTTTCCTAATTTACTGACTGAGCTAATTGAATAAGCCATCCTTCAGCGTTTAAATGCTTCTTGGTTGGTTTCTTACCTTTCACCTTCTAATATATAAAAGGGGCTTCCCTCTTCTGGATGGCAGCATAAATCCAGATATACATCTTTGGCTTAGGCAGCTCCAATAGTTTTATCTGTTTTTTAAGGCTTAGATTTGATTTCTGCATTTCCGTTTGCATAACTGATACTCCACGTCAATGTTACATTCATAATCCCTGTTTATAACCACTTTGTTCAAAGCTCTTGGAGATTTGATGTCAACATTTACAAAATGTAAACTATTTTTAAAGTTATATCTCTGTAGCTTTCTGTTTAAATTAACTTATCAACAATTAAAAGCAGTTTTCCATATTAAAAAAGGATAAAAATAGTTGATCAAAATTTTATCCATAAATTCACCTATATCCAAATATAACTTACAGCTGGGTTCCTAAATAAAATAAGCATAGCTGTTCTAAGATTTTTTGAGAATAAAAATAATATTCTTAAGTGTAGTTTAATTTTTGCAAAACAAAGATATATTTTAAATGTCTTTAACAAAGGAATAACTTTATAATTTCTAATGATTGATATCATTGTCTCTGCCAAGACTATTTCCAAAGAAAGGGTTTTTTGGGATAGTATTTTCTCCTGGAATTTGTGGCTGCTGAAGATTTCTTTGAAGATTATTATCATTATCCTCATCTTTTTATACATAATTCAAAGCAGTGAATATTCGTAATACTCCTGTCTCCTGTTTTCTTCATAACAATCACCCTGTGAGGTGGATTGGGCTAAGAGAGAATCAAGTGCTGAAAATATCAAAATAAAATGTATCATGTTTCTGCTCCTGTCTTCAACACTGTATATATTCCATGTGTGGTCTCTAAAACAATTTAACATTATAAATCTGCAGCTTTATACAGGAAGTAAGTCCTACTTAATGTAATAAGACTGACTTCTAAGTATGTAGACCTTGATCACAATGTAGAATATGTAGAGCTTGCATTATTAAATGCAACCCACACATTCAGCTAAGAATAACGTCTCAGATTATGTTAAGCAAGTTTTCAGGTAGGGAACACTATTACAATAGGAATACTCTAAGTTACCTGCTTCTTTTATAAAAAAAATATAGTACTGATTGGGTTCACATGTTGCAGTAAGCTATGGTTTGTATAACCATGGTTTATAAACAGTAACTTGGCTAAATTAAACTTGTAGTTCAGCATGATTTATGAATCATGTCACTGTCAATTTGCGTGTGTTTGTCTACAACTGTGCAGTCAGGACAAGTGTATCATTTGAACAAAGCCAATATGGAAATAAGTTCTTATCAAGCTTGCTGCTTATCTGCTATATATTCTCAACATTCAGTTATATGGTACTATCAAATCTGGTCTATGAAAAACCAGATATCTACTAGATCATAGCTAAGAGAGCATCTGGATTTTTGTAGCCTAGATCTGGTGACTTCAGATATACATGACCAAAACGAGAATCAAAAGTGCAAGGATAAAGATAAAAGAGAGAGGTTTGATAATCGGGATGGATGCACCAAAAACTGGAAACATTTTTGTTTGACTCATTTTAATTTCTCACTATATTTGCGTTCATTTTAAGAATGAAAAAAATGACATTCAGGTAGTCTTTGACTTATAAACATTATGCCCATTATGGTCATAAGTCATGACAGTCCTAAAGCAGGTTGCCCAAGTGACTCACCCAATTTTACAGCCTTTTTTGTTGCAATTGTTAGGCGAATCGCCATGAGTGTTAAGCAAATCCATTGTTCACCAGGGGTGTTTTTGCCCAAAATTGGAAGTAAATGCTTTTACAAAAATATAAATCACAGTTCTGTGATTTACATTTTTGTGCAGTTATATGATTTGGGGTTGGGTTGCTGTCAGAATTTAAGAACCAGGTCATAAGTAGCTTTTGGAGGGTCTGTCATAACTTTGGTCACTAAACAACCAGTCCTAAGTCAAAGACTTCCTTTACAATATTTGAAAATTATATTGCAAAATATGTTCAGTCATTACTGAAAGATTTCCTGAGTTGTGATATTTTATCCATCATTGATATCAATCAGTATTGCATAATAGCCTGAGCTGATAAGTAAATGAGCCAAGGATTTTTACAAAATGGGAAGGAAAGGGGTTTTTTGAAGGGAGTTTGCAGAAGAAAATCCTGACAAAGTACAAGTTCCAGCTTTCTATAAACCAATTCTTATTGAAAGCCAGATTCTTCAAATTGAGCAGTGTTAAATACATCTAGGTTTTATATTTGGGCACTGCATTTATTGAAGAAAAGACTAATAGGAGCAGAAGAAAAAATAATAATTCTCTGTGTAGCAAATGTGAGCTAATATGAATTTCTATTAACACCAAGGTATGGGAGAATCCAATTACCTTTCCTTATACTGTTTTTAAGTTTACTCAATATTTCAAGGTTTTGTAGTTAGATATCAACTAAAAATATTTTTCTTATCCCAGTGCTCTTCTAACTATGTTGCGTTACAATTCTCATCTAGAAGTAATGTAAGTAAACTAGCTAATTGTGAGAAATGATCAATATAGGAACATGGAACATCCTACCCCCACACACAGGGTGAGATCTGTCTCCACCCTTCTTTGGCCTGGGAATCCAATGAGGAAATTCCACATTGCAGGTGGCTGCTGGATTGATAGCATGCCCTACCTGCTCTGCATTTCCTGCTTCACTCCTGTCCAACTTTTCATAATATTGCATTTTCATTATTGTTTCATTATTTTGTTACTATTATGTTTACACTTCTGTTCATTTCTGTTTTTACTATTGAAAGCTGCCCAGAATAGTCTCATGATGAGATAGTCAGCAAATAAATTTAACAAATAAATAAAATATCTGTAGAACAACAGCCTGAGAAACTTAATACTATAACACATCCTTTCTCACAGCTGTTACAGAAACATGAAAAAGTGTGTGTATCTCCTTTTCTGGTGTGTGTGTGTGTGTGTGTGTCAGTGTAGTGGTTGCATTCACACAGATTTCTAGTTCTGGCTCTTGAATTTTTTAAATGTTGCTTTATTGTATATTGTTTGTTAGAATATTAAACTATGCTCTTTAGCCAAAAAACTTCCAAAGCAATTTCACATCCACACACCAATTCAATAGGTACATAAGGGTAATTGGTAAGCAATCTGAAAAATTCATGACCAAGGAAAAGGAATGCAGAGGGAGAAGAAAACCTTTGACAGTTATCCTACTGAACAAGCATATCTGTCTGCCTATCTTAACTTGGATTTGAACTACATTTTATTCTCTGCTTGGGTTGGCCTGTTCTTTGCTAGCTTAGTCTTCTTTGATTTTTCTCTTCCCTTGCTTCCTGTTCTTGAGGCAGAACTTAATTTACTTTCCCACTTCCTTTTTCTTTTTCCCATGGGGCAGGGAAGAATCACCAAAGAGACCTAATATTGCTCATGTTGTTTCTTCACTAATGCTTAGTAAGATTCATCAGAAGCCCTTTTTCAGAAATAGGATTTATTTGGCAATTATTTGGAAGCCATTTATAGTGGTTCTGTGTCTCTTTCTCTTGATCAATGGTTCATCCAAGAAAGAAAAGGTTCCAGGAAGGAGCAACTCAGATGTCCTTGGGCAATGCTGGCTCAGAAGATCCAATTCTCTGCCAAACTACATTTTTATGCTAGTTACAGGTAGCCCTCAACCTATGACTAATGGAGCCTGAGTTAGGTCCATAAAGGAGGCAGACAAGCAGCAAAAAGCTCTGTTAACCCCCAAAACATCTCAGCTGAGGGAAAGAGTTCAGCTAGATAAGGGCTGAGTGTTACATTCCATTGCTAGAGAGGCTTTCAAACAAGCCTCAGTGCTTGGCCAATTAAGCCATGCTTGTGGGCTGGCCCTCTGCCCCAAACTGTTGGCAACCATAAGATTACAAATATCGGCAGACACTTGCTAGGCTTTGGGAAAACTCAGGAGAAGCTCCCCAAAACTGTTTCCTTGTTTAACCTCTCCCTCTTTCAAAAACCCACATTTCTTCAGTAAAGTCAATATCAAAAAGCAGATGGGGAGGGAGGAGGAACAGACTTGTTTTCCTAATTAATGCTGGAACTAAACTCTCCACCTCTGCCCTCCAATCTCAATCTTTTTTAACCACCTTATTTGCTAAATTTATTGCATGCCTATGCATGCAAATCAGTAAGTTACTTACCATGATAAATAACTGCCAAGATAAAGAACAGAGAAATGGAAGCAAATAAGCAAATAAAATCTTTTTGCATCTGCCTTGCATTGAGGAGCTGAAGAAAAAGTTCAGCTCAAAATGTTCACCCAGCTAGAGTGCAATCTACACAGTAGCAGAAGCTGGGTACTTTTTATGTAGCTTTTTATGTAGCTCTGTCATATCCTTGAATCACTGCTAAGTGTCCAATTATATCCTAAGGATTACGTTTATAAATGTGCAAAACCTGCAATGCGAGTTCAAACAGAACTTCTGTTTGAATTTCTATATTATGTGATGTAGATTTCTCTGTGTAGCAGTTCTTACAGGTCTATTTTCCTGTGACTTCCATTCTTCCCTTCCCATAATCCATTCAACAGCAGAACCAGGAGGGACAAAGGGAAGGATACTGACCTTAATTTCCATTCTGATATCTTATTTCGTAAGACTAATGTTTTAATGTAGAAACCCTTTGTAAAGAATGTAGAATAGTTGTGACTAGACATTTTAATACTAGCTATGATTAATTTTGTATTATTTCAAAAGATGCAAATATTTCCATATAAAAAAAAATTGTCCTATTCTTCCCTAGAAGTTCTCACTTTTAAATGAAAGAAACTTTTCTTTTGAAATTTTTTTCAAAGGAAAATTGGATTTTGACAAAAGTTTCATAGTTGGTAAATAATATTCTTAATTTACTTCGTTGTAGGATGGCCAAAGAGTAAATGTCCTCTCTTTCATTATCCAATAATATTTTTACTGGTCTGCTGCCTCCATGCCTTTCCATGCTATTAATTAAGTTCTAAGGGAAGAAGACAATATGAGAGAATTCCATTGAGTTGCTGTCAGATTGGAAAATGTGGACATCCAGGGTTATTTCAGGATTATGGAAAGAGGTGTGAGAGAAAAGAAGCATCCTTCAACAACAACAATAAAGTAAATTCAATTAAAAGAAATTCAAAAGAAAGTTCAAGGACCCTGCGAATAAAGTAAAAAAAAAGTAGCTTTTGCTCAGGGGGAAAAAAATCTCAAACTATAAGACAGATTTGAAAGTAGCCTTTTTGTTAGAAAAGTCATGGGAAATAGTCATTAACCTGAAATTTGTTGGATTTGTTGGAAAATATCATTGAGAAGGCACCAAAAGAAATAGCATAAGATTATTTACTGGAGAGTTTTTTCTTTTCAGGTTTCCCTTTCTATCAGTCTATTTGACAATGAATAGCGATATTGCTGCACTTCAAAGACCTCAGTTTTCAAATTTGACTTAATGTTTGTTTAGTTTTGATTGACTTTATATTTTATTTGTAATATATGTATTGATCCAAGCACAAAGACATGGAAAAAGAAAAGCACCTCTATTACAAGAATGAAAGAACAACTTTCAACTATTATCCAGGCTGGTAGAGGATTGCTAGAATTGTCCTTCAACAAATAAGTGCATTAAAGTTACAAAGTGCAATAAAAACTTTTGAATATTTATGCATACAAAGATTCTCTTTATGTATCTGAATGTTTTAATAAGATGCCATAATACAGAGATCAGTTTTCTCAGTGTAACTAGATACATACTTGTTTAATTAGAATCCAAAATACATTGTGTTTCAAGTTTATAACATTAAGGAAGAGAGGCAGGTTTTCATGATTTTGTTGGCATCTTAATTTGTATTTTAGGAATTGTAGTTCTGCAACATTTGGAGGGCTATAGATTCCTTTTTTTAAAGGATTCTTTAGTGTGATTATTATTATTTAGAGATTACAAATTTGTAAAATATATTGCAAAAGAAAGATATTGGTTAACCTGCTTAAAATTACCGACACTGTCACTTTCTTTAAAGGGGAATGACTAAAGAGGAACAGCTGAGGGTGATAGCTTAATAAGAAAAAAACAACCGATAACCAAGATCATTGTAGTTTTAAGTGTCTGGACAAACCTGTTATTTTGTTAACAGTATAGGTTCGATCAGCTACATTATGTTTTCTCAACCTTTTGGGATTTGTAATTTGATTACAAAAATAACAAATTTATTCAATAAAAATGAGATGGATGGGGATAATAGATGGATGTTTTGCATAATGTAAAGCTGCATTTACTCTGTCAGTGGTGGCGAACCTTTTCGGCACCAAGTACTGAAACGGGAGCATGAGCATGTATGCCAGAAACTGGAAGAGCAGCCGCGCAGTGTGTATGTGCAAGCCAGGAAGATGATCTTCCAGTTTCCGGTGTGTGCATGCACACTGGCCACCTGGTCTTCCAGTTTCTTGTGCATGTGCATGCCTGCACATACCAGCTGGTTAGTGTGCATGTATGTGCTGGAAACCGGAATATCATTTTCACAGCAGCGCCTGCACTCCAAGTAGCTGTTCTAGTTTCCGGCGCTCCTGTGCATGTGAAGACCATCTGGCTGGCACGCCAGAACCCAGGAGAGCAAGAAGCACTCGCAACCCTGGAGTGATGGCTCTGCGTGCCACTTCTGGCACATGTGCCATAGGTTCCCCATTATGGCTCTATGTTATCTTGACACAGAGCAAGAAAATAGTTCCCTCATAACTGAAGAGTTGCAATAATGTCATTAATTGTACAATTCCAAGCTAAATGAAGCCACAGGAAAATACAGTATATTATATACACTAATGTAGAGCTGTGCAAATTTGAAATATAAACAGATGCTTCAGTTAGAATAAAGGCTGTTTTTTTTTTCTACCCAAAGACTTGCAGCAAGTCTTTCATGAGCAAAAAACCAGCAACATTTCTTGTCAACCTCTAGGGGCCAGTGCAGCCTAGAATTTCACTACACTTCCAATTTTTGCTGTTCTATTTTCTTAGCAATTTAACTTTTGCTTGTTTCTGATAGAAAATTGTCAATTGTAAACCACATGACACCTTCAATAGATTCTGAAAAGGACTCCCTAAAAAAATTTTTTTTAGATAGTCCTACCTTGTTAAGTGAGCAGCAACATTTACATAGGCTAAGTGAAAAGAAGATATGATTCTTTGTCCAAGTACTAAATATTGTCAGAATCTCTAATTCCTGATGCTTTCATTTGCATTGGAAGACACAGAAACTCAGTTTTGAAGGTTGAAGAGACACTGATGTCTTTCGTTCAATGGAAAATGGGGTTAAATGGTGAGGATCTTAGTTAATTAAAATAAAGCTGGGAAAGAAAAGACTTAGGGCAAATGGGTAGAAATTAAGTGCTGGCTTGAGGGGCAGTAATTGCATTCCCTAGGTAGAAAAATGGGAATGGGTGCAGTTGTGGCTTTTGGGGTGCAACCAGGAAATTCTGTGCAGCCTCAAGTTGTATACCCCCTATACTTCATTTCTTCATGGGTGAAGATTTAAGTTTAAATTACACCTAACAAAAGTCTATATTTCTTAATTCATTTATTTTGTAATCTTTTTAATATCTGAAACAAGACTTAATATCTTAGTGTAATTTACATTGTTAACTGCTATTTCTTTCCACTTGCAGATGGAAAGAAAATAAATTCTTTTGTCCACCTGTGTTTATCAGGCAGTCATGGGGATTAACTAGTTGTCAGTCATTAATTGGAATGAGAAAACTATTAACAGAATGTAGCTTTTATTAAGAAAATACCTACAAATAAAGTATTTAAAACCATTATATTGTTTGGCAAAAGGCTTAAGGAGCCTTTAGCCTTTTAGCAAATAATCCTAGATTTTAAGAAGATAGAATAAGCGAGGTCACTCACACATTTGAGGGTCCATTTCATTAAATGTTATCATGGAAAATATATAATAGCAAGAATAATGTGCAAGATATGAGATCTTGAAGTAGACATAGGGAGCCCCAATTTGAGATTTAAGTGAGTCAGGAATTAGAGATGGTCCAGGACAAATTTGTGACATAAATATTGGTTTACCCTGATGTACACCAGCAGTGGTATTGGAATTAGATGGGGTCCATCTGTTGATTTGCATAAGGGTAAAGAAAACAATAATTTCACATTATAGAAGACAAGCTCTCATGGCAAGACAATGCCTTTATGAAAAATTCAACAGTACTGGATGAGCAAATTCATATTCAAAACTATTCTCACAATTTTCACTAGGTCAATAACTGTTGAATTACATAAATCACCACACATTATTGAGACATTATTTAAAGATTATTGTTGTTGTTGTTGCTGCTGCTGCTGCTGCTACTACTACTACTATTGTCCACCTATTGAGTCCTTACCAAGGACCTGGGATAGGCAAATCTGGATGATGATGATTATATTATTATTATTATTATTATTATTATTATTATTATTATTATTATTATTATTATTATTTTAGAGAGTATAAAGAGCATGTACACAAGCTTCAGTTGGCTAATTAATACTTATTTCCTGAAGATGGAAAAGGAATATTTATTTACATCTCTCACATCCCATCTCCCTGAAACAAGCTTTCACGGTTTTGTTTTTTGACAATGCCATCAGCCTGTTCATTGGAAGGTATAAAGGATTACCAATTATACATTTGTGATAATTCACAGGTTAAAGTTCTGATCCACTGCAAATTATATGCCTTTATTATGCAATAGTAGATTTATTATGCTTTTGTTAACCCAGCTTAATCAGTCTGGCGTAGGAGAAAAAAAATTATTTCAGGCTGACCTACATAGACATGTACAATTAAAAAAAAACCCACAAAGCTGTGTTGTTTGAAATGGCCATAAAGAAGGCAATGAATGCCAATTTTGACAGTACTATTATTTATAGGGGTATGTATGAATTAAACTGATAAAGATTGTTGTAATTTTATATGAATTTTGGAAAAATCTATGGTTGCAAATAAATGTATTAAATGTAACTAGTTGTCAGTTGTGAACTTTGTACTTTTGCAAGTTAATATTTTTAAACTTTCATTTTTTTTAGAAAAATGATAAAATATACTTGAAAAAAAATGAAACGCAGCTAAATTGCTAGCTATTCTTAAATTGGGGACACCAAAAGTAGGGATTGCAATTTTGTCACTTCAATTGCAATCTATTACAATGGAGCAACTGTAAAAGTATTTGTAAAAAGGTAACACAAAGAAGATTTAGGAGAAATGCATCATCTTAGCTTCAAGTTAATTTGGATTTTGAATTTGAGAGAGATAAGACTCTCACCAAAATTACATGATACCTAGAATTCCTACATTTATGCTAAAATCAAAAGTGGAAGCATTACATTTTGAGGAAATACTAAAAAAGAAATTCCTTCCTCTTAACAATAAATAATTATTTTTTGGCTTAACAATGTTGTTTGCTAAGAAGCTAAAAAATATGGAGCATTTTCTTCTCCTGCAAAACTTGATTAAGATAGAGAGAAAAGGCTTCATGGATTTCAGTAATCAGACTCACAATCTTGGTGCCCTGTTTATATGCTGTTTCTAAGGTTCAAAAATGGGACTTTAGCTTCATTCCCATCTTTATTAGATTCAGTTGTGTAAAGTTCTTATAAAACAATGTGAAAAGAAGGCTGCAAGAGCACAATTGTTTCTCACAACTGGGTGCATATGAAAAGTAAATGCAGTCAATAGGATTGAGGCATGCAAGGATTTGGCTTGCTTCTTTTCTTATAGTCCGCCCTGAATTAAATGTTCTTGTCTCTAACAGGGCAGGAAAACCAGCTAAAGATCCCACATCGGCTCTTTGGTGAAAAGAGGCAGATAATTTCTGAAAGTTTCTAGTAAGTGACACAAAACGTATATTCAACCCAGATTGAAACTTGAGTTTCCTTCACTTGTAAGAAACTCTGAAATATTTGACAACCAAATTCAGGGTCTTTGAATTTGTATGTCCCAGAGTTGTGTGTCTGACAAGAAGGTAAAAACATAATGACAGGCCAGAACAGAACAAAAGACAGAAGACAAGTGATTAGAGGAAGTACCAATGTTACATTCTTTCCCTGCTGTGACACAGCTTTTGCCAATTATATACCAAGTATAGCTTGTTTCACACTTGTGAAAAATAATCATCAAATTTGTTATTCACTGATCTGTATTTGCCTCTCTAATATGTGTATCATTGCCAGAGTCTGGTTACAGAGAGTTATGTTTGAGTAAAATAAAATGCACAATCCCAAGCAAGGAATTCTTCACCTTCCAATTCCTTTTTGGTTTTATAATGAATTGAGTGATAAAGTGATGTATATTATTTACTGGAGGCATTGACTTGCTTACTTACTTATTTATGCTGTGTGATTCTTAAATAATAACCAGGTGAATTTGGTTCAGGAAGAGAAACTTGATGCAGCTATTATTCCAGAACAGCTAATGTGATTCAGCATCCTTACTTCTATCTAGCAAATTATATTGTAGACTAATGGAACAGCTGTTACCTGAGAAAGTGTCAGCCTAAAGCAGATCGCAATCCCAATCAGATATCAGCCTCCCAATAGACCAGACAGGAAACAAACAAGATGAATTAATTCTACTTTATTGTAAGGCTACATTAATAGAATTTTGCAAGTCTGAATGCACAACTCTCCTACCCCCGCTTTTTATCATCTGATAAGTGAGGTTTTTCTCTCTGCCTGTTATTCAGTTGCGGGTTCCTGTTTCTTTTATTTGATCATTTCTCAGGCAGCATCTCTTTCCCTTCCTAACCCCCTCTTCGAAGCTCATTCTCACATTCTATTATCTGACTAATTCTACTTTATTATTAACATCAATAGTTCACAGAATCTTACAGGTCTGAAAACACAATCCTCTCCCC